CCTGGGGGAAGACAGCAGCAGGGGGCCTGAAATGACCTTCCTTTTTCTAGAGAAATCCTTCATCTGGAAACAATCAGGTCCTAAGGTGCCAGACCAGGGAGGTCCAACCTGTACTTCTGAAGTGGCAAGTGCACAGCTCTGTTTCCTGCTCTCCCTACAGTCAGCCATGCGGATGCCCATTCCTACCTGATGCAGACCTTAATCTTTTTTTTTTTAAACCTCCAAACCAGATTACTACAAGATACCATATCTAGAGCTACCACTGAATAACACTGGGACATTACAGATAATTGGGAGGACTGCTACAAGCACGTAATGTTAACTCACTGCTTCACAGGGGCTACATATTTGCTTCCAGTATTGATTATGATCTAGAAAACCTCAGATGATTTAGGGCCAAGTTATTTAACAGTTTTTCTCTCTCTGGCACCCCTATGGAAGTCTGAATCTACAGGGTCATTTCTGTAGCTTGTTCTCAATTACACTGTGCCAGGTTGCTAACAGAGTGTTTTTAGTGAAAGGGTAAATATTTCAGAACCCAAGGCTGGCAACAGACTTGGCTGGGTCCTGGGTTAGTTTGGGGGAAGCAGGGCAAAGAACTCAGCCCAGGAAACAAAGCTTAGAGAAAAAGGGGTGGTGCTGGGTTCAATCTGCCCCAGCCAGTGCTCAGCACCATACAGACCATGCTGTGTGGCATTCCAGTGGTAATTTAAAGGGCCTGAGGCTCTGTCTGCTGCTGATGTAGTGGCAGCCTGGAACCCCAGGCCCTTTTAATCATCAGGCACCAGGCAACTTTCTCCCCTTTACCTCCCCATTATCAGCCCTATTTGAACCTGCTCCCTCCAACAGTCTGCAAGAGGAAGAAACCAAAAGCTTAAATCTACAAGAAATGTACACCTTTTTACTTGTGCACAACTAATTCAATAGCAGAAATAAAAGCAAATTGGGAGTTTCTCATATGTGAACCTTAGAACATAAGGACAACCATACTGAATCAAAGCAAAGGTCCACCTAGTCCAATGCCAGGTGCCACAGAGTGAATGGACATCAAGTGATTCCTCCCATCACCCATTCCCAAACGGTGGCAAACAGAACCTAGGGACACCATTCCTACCCATCCTGGCTAATAAGCATTGATGGACCTATCCTCCGTGAATTTATTGAGGCCTTTTTTGAACCCTTTTAAAGTCCTGGGCTTCACAACATCCTCTGGCAAGGAGTTCCACAGGTTGACTATGCATTGCATGAAGAAATACTTTCTTGTGTTTGTTTTAAACCGGCTACCTATTAATTTCATTTGGTGAGCCTAGTCTTATGTTATAGGAACTAGTAAATAATATTTCCTTATTCACTTTCTCCTCACCAGTCACGATTTTATAGACCTCTAGCACATCCTCTAGTCTCTTTTCAATGCTGAAAATAGCCAGGTTTTTTTAAATCTCTCTTCATATGGCAGCCATTCCAAACCCCTAATTTTTTTTCCCCTTTTCTGAACGGTTTCCAATGCTAAAGTATCTTTTTTGAGATGAGGCAACCACACCTGCATGCAGTATTCAAGATGTGGGTATACCATGTATTATACAGAAGCAATAAGAAATTATCTTATTCTGTTTTTTTTTTAAATGATTCCTAACATTGTTTGCTCTTTTAACAGCTGCTGTACATTGACTAGATGTTTTCAGAGAACTATCCACAATGACTCCAAGATCTCTCTCGAGTGGCAATAGCTAATTTAGTCCCCATCATTTTATATGTATAGTTAGGAATAGGATGTTTTCCAATATTCAGTACTTTTCATTTATCAGCATTAAAATTCATTTTGTTGCCCAGTCACATAATTTTGTGAAATCCCTTTGAAGCTCTTCACAGTCTGCTTTGGTCTTAACTAATCTGACCAATTTAGGACTACCTGAAAGCAGAAAGGCTTAAACTTTACTGGTGTGAAGTGCCAGGTGCTTTGCAATCAATGTATATATTCTAAATAGATTAATTATGTCAGTCAATGCATATGAGAAGTCATATAAAAAAAACACTGAAGTTATGAATATATCACCATCTATCTTCAGGGAAGAGAGTCCTGGAGGGGATTTAGAAAAAAGCAAAGACAAAACACAGACCACTTGACACCACAGAACACATGCTGCTACAATGCATTAAATATAGTTTGTACCCTTTAAAATGTTTGCAACAGTTTCCTTTGCTTCAGGAGGAAGAACAGAGCTCAAGTGCTGAATGAACTGTGGTTTCTGGAAGTCAATTATTACGTTACGAAGTTTTTCACTAGAGAGAAAAAAAGGGAATTAGACAAAATTATTACTAGTGAGAACATTTATACAATCACTAAACAAGATCTGAAAACAATTCAATTCTACAAACCTGGCAGAAGAATTTTCCATCAGTTTAGAAAGATTTCCTAAGGGAGCATCAATATCAGAAATTCCTTCTTCATGATCTAACCTAAATATAGTGTTCTTACAGAATTTAGACAAATTCCTGAAAGATATAATGGGAACAATAATTAGGAATATAAGTATGTTTACTTCCATCTTTGTTTATATTCATCCTGCTGTGTTATTGTCAGTGATGTTGCTTGACATATGCCAGTAACCTAGAACAATAGGTTCCCAGGAGTAAACTACCCCTATTCACATCAACAAGACGAGAATTCTCAAGCCTAATATTTTAAATCAACAGTGGTATCCATTTCATGGGTATTCAGATTGAGTTACTAGAAGCAGGGATCTGGGGATATAGCAGCACCCCTCCCAGCTTAGTTTTCATATTTAGGATTTAGCGTTTTGTTCATTGGTTTTCAGCACCCACACTACACAAATTATTCCTACACCCCTCTTCTTCCTTGACCGTGGTGATGACATAACAGAAAAACCCACAGTCTATGACTAGCATCTCATTTTGTTGTCAGAGATATTACAGCAAGTTTCATAGCTGTATTTTGCTTATCTGCTAACAGCCTAGAAAAACTCCCTGGGAAGAAGAAAAAAAACCACACACACACACCTCCCCCTCCCTCCCTCCCTCCCTCCCCCTCTCTCCCTCTCTCCCTCTCTCCCTCTCTCTCTCTGACCTAGACCAAATTTTGCTATTTCAATTCAGTGTGGGTGAGGTTTTTTTATGGCAGCAGGCATAAGAGGTTAAACCTAGAGAGAATAATTCATTTTACATGTTGTAACATCCGAAAGACCTATTTCAAAAAATAAATAGAATTAAAAACCACATATATACTTCTTTTCAAAAGGGAATATTTTTTCTTTTCTGTTTGTATTACCTGTCCAATAAACAGGAAATTTTCGTAACATTGACCTCTTTAACATAGCCAGCAGACAAGCCAAATAATGTCTTTTCTCCACTCACAACAACTCTATCTCCTACCAACAGGTTTGTTCCAGGCATGGTACCATTTTTACGCTGGAAATAATGTAGAAATTGTCCATCAGAAGCTTCCTGCACACTTTCAGCTATAATCATATTTCCAATGCAGTCTCCAGCCTTTTCTCTATGAACACATTAAAATAAAGTGTAAGCTGCCTTGAATAGTTTTCTAAAACTAGCTTTTTAATCCGTTTACGTTTTAAAAGTAATATACTTTCTTATAGTTTTGTTTGCCCACATTTTCTGTCTTTTTCTTCCCAAGACAAATGTACTATTCTGTTCTATAGCCCTGATCAATTCAGGACTGAATAGCTTTCTAAAACATATACTCCTAACTCAACAATAAATTATTAGCTTATAGCAGGAATTTATTGGTGAAATTCTATGATGTGTGTTATGCAGATCAGCCTAGATTCTAGACTTAAAAATATATTAATACTACATTTCAATCCTACCCTATAAGCTGCTGTTTCACAAAAGGGAAAACAATAAAGCTGGAAATAAGCACATGTGTGCTTCAAAACAAAAGTATTTGGCTTGTGAAACTCTCTGATAAGTGATCTACAGATGCTCAACACAGAGGAGATTATTCAAGGTAAGTCAAGTATTACATTCTGAAACATAAGGTTGTAGATTATTAAAATAAAAGTTTGATTTTTTAGAGCTTCAGTAGTAACAGGTAAATATTACTACCCATGCTTTACTGAAGCAGACTCTTCGCCAATGAAGTTAAACATGGCTGCTGGTGAGTCTTTAACAGGAAATGATGCACTATCATAAACCTTTAGCCCACTTTCAGCCATCTGTGGAGCAGCTTTCACTAGCAATACAGCCCAGAGTAGAGTACAGCTTGTCAAAAGCCTTGATTTAGGAATGCAACACAACAAGCTGCAGTGCAGACAATATCCAGCTGCATACATTAGGAAGGTGAGGCTAGTAAAAGTACTACCTTCATTTTTGTAAAGTAAAGCTGCAAGGCACAACTTACCATCTTCCTCTCCTGCAGAAGAACCTTACAACAGGTTGCTGATAGCATACCACAAGATCTACTAGCCCAATGCTTTTGGCAGTGCACGTTCGCAGATGAACGAGTACTTCCTGCTATCTCAGGTGACTATATCAGAGTACTTATCTAAGGATTGAAAAAAAGATCTCTCTCTCACTGGAGAAAGGAGAGAGAGAAACCAAACAGGTAAAAGTTTCCCATAGACAATGCCCTCACTCCCATCTTACCTTTCTGAAGCAGGCATCAACCATATATTTTTATATCCCTTTTTGACAGCTCTACAGTGTGACTCCAAGGTTAACATTAAATACCACAGGCTGAAATACTGTAAGTGAGACAGTTTCAAATGCTGGGTCTCCTTTTCAATAATGGGTGCCATAGCAGGAGGTATAAGGTCTTTATCCATCTGTTGCTCTACAGCTCTAAAAATAGATACAAGCATCCAGGTATGACTTCTTTTCGGTTTATTTTTCTGTTAAGACTACATATGCTTAAATAAAAATCAATGGAATTTATGCAGTAAAACAAAACATCTATCTGAACCAAGCAAATTTAGGGGAAGAGCATCCCATTCCAAATCTTTGTGTGTGGGTGTGAGTACTCTCGTATTGGTGACTAGATGTTCCCTGGTAATAATTTTGAATGTTCACGGAAGGAAAGTCCTGTTTTTATTTTCACTAATTCAAGCATAATATTTTCTATTTTCCACATAAAAAATGCTAGCTCTATTTATAAAATGAGCCACAAATGTGTAATGAATCTGAAGACTATATTTATTAATATAGCATCAATTTGTTTTATGAACATGAAATGCCTTTCTTTTATTTAACCTACATCTATGCTTCCATAAACATGAGGAGTTCTTGTAGACTTTTTGGTATACTGTCATGTGTGAAAACAACACTTCAAAAAGAAAATAATTTTTAACAACTAAAAATGTCAAAGTAGTTTTAAGATTGTCTTTACTGGATGACATTACAAGACTGAATTTAAAAAAGGAAAATCTAAAAGGAGTACAAGTGATTTTAATTTAGAAAACCTATTGTGTGTAGGTATGTGGCGATATATCGCCTGACCACATTTTAGGCACACAATTTTGGCGACTATGTTTAGGTATGATCTTTTATGCCTCCTACGGTCTTGCACCCTATTCTTATAAATGAAATAAAAGATCTAAAATGTTAAAATAAATTATAATTATACAGTTAACTTATTGAAAATGCATTAAATATTTTAAAGACGGCCTTGAATTGTATTCTTGCTAGGATGTTCGTGTATAACAGTTTAAACAATTAACTAGACACAATCTCCCCTCCCTTGCTGCCTCTATCAGAAGCAGCAAGCAATGTGGGGGAGAGGCAGAAGCTGGTGCCTGTGGGGAGCTGGCTGCCCCGCTGCTGCCTCCTAGAGGCAGCATGGTGGGGAGGCAAGTGGGAGCTGGTGCTCAGGGAGGAAGGGGCAGCTTAAAAGAGAGGCAGCAGCGGGGAGGGTGAGGGGAGTAGATGGGACCTCTTTAGTGACTGTGCGCTCCAGTTTTTTGATGCACTTCAAAGTGAAGAGATCTTGCTTTTTGTATCACTAAGGATAAGCTAACAAAATCTTCTCCAAAAAAAGGGGGGGGGGGGGGGGGACAGGAGAAGCAGATGGGAGCCAATATGCCCAGAGAACCAGCTTTTAACCTGGCTCTATATGCAAACTGGCTCCAGAGAGAGAGAGACACAACCCCCAGTACTGCTACCTCTATCAAGGCACAATGGGGGGTGGGGGGAAATGCAGGATGCTGATGCAGCCTCTCTTTGCAGGAAGCTGAGGCTTCTCCCAGACAGAGGCTGCTGCCACCCTGTGCTGCCACCTCTGTATCAGTGTGTGGTGGCCGGAGGCTCCCTAGGAATAGAGCTGGGACCACACTGGCTGCCAGCCCTGCCCCTGAGGAGTACTATAATAACCATGTTAAAAGTGCTACATAGTTTTTCCTTCTGTTTTAGCAAGATCAGACTAATACGACTACTCTCTATTACTATTTAATAACCATGTAACTGCTAAAAATTGTTGCAAGAATTAAGGATGGTAGCTACTGTGTATTTTAGTAATTGTTTAGACACAACAATTTTTAATAATAAAGTGTAGAAAAATCTCAGACATTAGGATCCAATAACCAGTTATTAAGGATTTTGGTTATGTGACAAAATCATCTACTGTATCTCTAGCAGAATAATTACACCAGCATAGTTATGCCAGCACAGCACCCCATGCAGATGCCATTCACAAGTAATTATTCTATGCCAGTCAATTCCCTGTGTAGACGAGCCTTAAGATAATAACAAATATAGGTTCTAATCCTACAAAAGCTTGAGTATATGACTTCAGTGAGACTACTCACAGGAACAGATTCGTAAATTCTCATGGTTGGGGAGGTCTCAATGAAGGAATACTTATCTTTGAAGAAAGTTATTGCATAACATGGGTAAGTGTTAATCAATGCTGTGAAATCAGCACAGAAAATCCAAAGTTGTTTAGTATTAATATGTTGGGGGTTGTAAAAAGTGTTTGCAATCCAAAGTCTGAAAGTTTCTTTTACCTGCTATAAAGAAAGCAGTTGTGCATTTGTGGGCAATATTTACAGGCCCAACTGTCATCAATTACAGGAGGCAAAGAAGCAAGTTGTGTTTGCTTATTTCCCAGGGCAGATTGGCACACACTGTGGAATAAATAGAAGGCCAGTTGGTTTCTTAGCTTTATTAATTCTGTAGAGAAAAAAACAACAAAGAACCATGAGCTTACAGGGTTAGAAACTGTATATTCACTTTCATTCCGTTAATAATCTGGGGTTCCAAACAATGGGCACATATGTAGCAAACACAGTATTCATTATAAAGATATTTTCGGCATCCAGGTTGACTCTCTAGTCTGGCAACAACCATGGTCCAGCATGATTTAGCCAGATACTCACTTATCAAGGTGTGACCAAGTTTCCTGCCGTCCCAATTTCAATAAAGTTTGTTTACAGCCACCAGTCCCAACTCTGTGTTCTGTGCTATTATTTAGCTCTAATTTACCCCAACTCTTCTAAAAGCCCAGTACGCAGCGGAAGTATTGGTAACACTGCTAGACAATACTGATCTCCCATCGTCTGGCAAATACTCTGGTTCAGCACCGGTCAGGTCCTGAGGGAGCTGAACTAGAGGGTTTCAATCTATAGTGTATTATTTTTAAATACAAAATTATTCCAGGAAGATTAAGCATTCTTGTCAAAACAAATAACTCATCTCAACACTATTTCAAGAATGAACAATGTACTAAATGTTAAAAAAAAAATCTTAGAAGTTATAATACAGGTTGGACCTTCCTGGTCCAGCAACTTTGTGACCAGTCCCAGATACTGGATTTTGTTAGACCAGGAGAGGCCATTTCTGGGCCCCCCGCCACCAACCCCCTCCAGCCCTGGCCTCACCACCGACTCCCCGGCTGGCTCCCCCATCTCACTGGCCCCTGCCACCCTGTCAAATCCCGCTACCCTACTAGGCAGCCCCATCAACTCTGCATGCACTGAGCTCCTGCTCCAGTGCCCGGTATCCCTGCCCTATGTGCTCCAGCTGCAGCGCCCAGCAGTATCGCTGCCTCTGTGCTTCTAGTCCTGCAGCCATGCTATCTCTGCATGCAGTGCTCCCGCTGCCCTACTGGGCAGCCCAACTACAGTGTGTCAGGCTCCTGCTGCCCTGCAGCCTGCAGCCATGCTATCTCTGCATGCAGCGCTCCTGCTGCCCTACTGGGCAGCCCAACTACTGTGTGTCAGGCTCCTGCTGCCCTGCAAGGCTCCCAGGTACTAGCTCTCCACCAGGAGTCTCTAATCCTGCTGGACCACGGATGTTGCCAGACCAGAGAGTCCCAGTTAAAAGAGTTTCAGTCTGTAGTTAAGCATTATTTCTGAGAAAAACTACCTCTCCTATCCATACGATTGCCACACACAGGATACATATTGCCAGTTTTTAGGTAAAGAAGAAATCCAGCTTCAGGATCCACTCTTCGTTCTTGGTTTAACAATGTGTAGAGAATAACCTGAAGACATTTTAAAAGTATAAAGTGTATTTTGATATTCAAGTAATATGCAAAAGTCATGTGAATACATTCAAGTTACATAGTTAAGCTGACTTATCACTGCCAAGAAAATTGCAAAGAATAAATGCTTAGTATCTAAGTGATGTTTTTAATTTAAAAGATTTCTTCCAAAAAAAAAAATCTTTAAAAAAAAAGTTAAAATTTGAGAATTGCTTATTTAGTTGATGATAATGCAGGAAGTAAATACTCATAGTGTCACCTCTGCCACATTATAGCTCCTCTCCTCTAGACCTTGAAGAGACCTCTCTGAAGTTTCAGCTATGGAGGAATGAATACAGTTACCCACCCAGTCTTGCAGAAATCCCCTGAAAGCTAACAAAATGTCAAGCTCTCTCTTTTGCAAAGCCTCCCACAAAAGTTCAGGAGGTGAAAGATACAAGGTTCCACACAATGATCCTGGCTTCCTCCTTCAGGGCTAATAGATTCAGCAAAGGCTCCTCATTGAGTCTCCTCCTTCCCTTATGGAAATCTAGACCTTTGCTTGAAGATGGTAGTTTGTAAATACTTCCACATTTCTCAATTCATTATTCATAAATACTTATTGACTTTATCATAAGCCATCCAAAATACCAATTGTATCACATATAAACTAGTTTGGCCATCATTTATCAGATAAAGTGCAAATAAGTATATTACAACTGTGTACGCTGAACATTTAACATTTCTACCTGACTTCTGTGTTCTATGGAATTAGATTCTTTGCCAGTTTTAAGCTCCAATGGCATTATCTTATATTGTGTTCCAGACTTCCGGTGTATTTTCACACCAACTGTGACATCAATCTTGCCCTTTAATCCAAACCTGGGAGACCAAATAGTCTCCTCGATATCCAGAAACTCTGTAACTTCAATATTACAGGATAAATCTATGTTTCCATCACTTGGTCTAGAACTCTGTAACTTCAATATTACAGGATAAATCTTCTATGTTTCCATCACTTGGTCTAGGAGGAAAGCAAAATAAATTTAGAAAAATAGTAACTTTGGCAACACTTGAAGAGTAATAAGACTATTTCAGAAGTTGCTGCATATCTCTAAACAGGTACCTATGGGCAGGGCTGGACAAATTATACAATCTACTTGCCCGTAGCGAGTAGATTGTAACCCAGAAGAGCCAGGTTTGGGCGATCTGCGAATGCGCAGATCGCTGGGCAGCGCAGCTGGCAAGCAGGGCTCACTGCAGTTCAGTGAGCCCTGTCTATGGGTATGTCTAGACTACGTGGCTCTGTTGCCAGAGCCATGTTGATTAGTTTACTAGACATACCCAAATGAAGCGGCGATTTAAATAATTACTGCTTCATTTCAATTAAAATGGCTGCTGTGCTGAGCCGATCATCAGTTTGTCGGCTCAGTGCACTAGTCTGGACACTCTGCGGTCGACATCAAAGGCATTTGTTGACCGCCCCGTTATGCCTCATGGACTGATCGGCTCATCACGGCAGCCATTTTAATTGAAATGAAGCAGTAATTATTTAAATCGCCGCTTCATTTGGGTATGTCTAGTAAACTAATCAACATGGCTCTGGCAACAGAGCCACGTAGTCTAGACATACCCTATGAGAGTTCCAAAGATTTAAATAACTTCACAGGAACTTCTATTAGTGCATGTACACAGCAATGGCAAAAATATTTACATGTACAGCATTAGTCATTAATTTAAGATAGTTAGGGTGTTAAAGCCAACTCATGCCAATTTCTGTACATAAATCAGGCCTCAATTCAAAAGGGTACTTTAAGAAATTACCATATCAGTGTACATTTTAATCTGACAAGTTGTGTTTTTAAAAATTTAATTCATGTTTGTTACAGATGTGTGCAAAAAATACATAATCAAAAGGGTCATGAATTCCATCTGAAGAACATGCCTTATTTCAGTGGTCCCCAACCTTTTGGGGCTACCGGGTGCCCGGGGGCGGGGCCAATCACACGCCGGGCGCCCGGGGCGGGGCCGCACACATGCCCGGGAGTGGGGCTGCGCACGCAGTGCCCAGTGCCAGTGCCACCCATGAGCTGCACTCCCAGGACCGGTGCCGCTCCTGTGCCGCACACCCACGGGTAGGGCTGCTCATACGCCATGCGCCTGGGCCCAGCACCGCTCCTGTGCCGTGTGCCATGGGGCGGGGCCACCCATATGCCGTGCACCCGGGGCCAGAACAGCCCATGTGCTGCATGCCCGGCGCCGCCCATAGGCCACGCGCCTAGGGGCGGGGGCCGCCCATACGCCACACGCCCGAGGGCGGGGTTGCCTCCGATCACTCGGCGGGCGCAGCCCAGCAGGTACTGCGTTGGGGACCATTGCCTTATTTGATGTTCAAAATATTCACTTTAATAAAATCAAGAGTCCTGCTCATCTTTAACATGCCACAGGACTCCTCATGGTTTTTGCAGAATCAGACCAAAATGGCTACCCTTCTGAGACTTGTTACTTTTTTAAAATAGTTTGCTGATATTAGGACGATTTTAAAAGGATTTTTTTTCCTCTGCAGTATGAATTTAACTATGAATAAAACAGAGGACCAGGCAAATGACCATTACCTCCATTGAATCAAGCAGCCAAATGGCAGGGAAATTTTTGCAGGAAGAAAACTGTTAAGTGACCTAGTACGATGAAAGCCAGATTTTCAATTTTAACTTGTATATTTATTTTTATACCTTAGTCAACGGATCAAATAAGCTAGTTTTTCCAAAGCTAAAATGTTTACTTTCTGAATTGGGTAACTGTGAGTTCTCTTGCTAGGGATGTTAAATATTGGTTAATTGAATAGTCGATTAACCTCATGAATTCTTATTGGTTAGTCGACTATTCTATAGTCCCCGGGCAGCCCCTGTCCAGAGGAAAGGGGGGCAGGGGTCTGAGCTCCCAGACCCCGCACAAGCTGGAACTGAGCCACACTGCCTGCCTGACTCCTAATACACTTTAAATGCAGAGCCGAAGCGGGGGTAGGTAGGTCCAGGACCCAGAACAAGCGGGGACTGAGCTGGGCTGCTGGCTAGCCTGCTAAAAAATTTACTGGCAAGGGCTGGGAGAGGGGAATGCATGTAGTCTATACCATTAACCAATAAGCTTTTGCTTATCGGTTAATCAACTATACTATTACATCCCTAACTCTTACTAGAATCTTTTTAAAAACAGAAGGTGCTATGGATACCTGTAATATTGTTTTCCAATCATGCACTGATTGCATTTGAAATTGCATATTGCAGCTTAACAAGTAGTTTACCATGGATCATATGATTTTTTGTTTAATAAAGTCAACTTTCTAGGCAGTAAAACCATGTGTCACCTGCACATCAAAATAGACAAAAACAAAGTTTTGTGACTTAAAAATAAAATCAATAAAGCAAACTAGACAATTAAATAATTTGATTAGTGACATCTTTGCTAGATAACAAAATAAAACAAGTTTATTAGCAAATAATAGTTTCTTACAGTTTTAACTGCATTTTGTTTTGGTCAGCTTTACTATGTTTGTTCATGAAGTCTTCTGCCCATTTAGAAATTGATGGAAAATATTCTTGTACCTCTTGAATAATTTCTTCTTGTTGCAGATTCAAGAAGTACCTGTAGAAGTGAACCCATACATGTTAAACTCTACACAGAAAATAAGGAATAATACAAGATGAAGATGAAAAGACTCAAAACTGAATAATGCTCCAAGTTTATTGGAGTCTCATCCTGCCAAGACTTACACAAGTATCTAACTTTCTGCATCGAGGGATTTCTCATTGTGTGAAGTCAAGCATGCACGGGGGCAGAGGGGAAACAGCGTAAGCATCAGGATCTGACTGCTGCGCTTCTGGCTTTTGGGCTCTTGCTACAATTCAAAAGTAGAAGCACGGTAGAGAGCATGGGGCGAGCTAGGACTGAAGCAGTCCGGGTTCACCCTGTGTTCCCACTATGGCGCTTCACCCTTTGAAATGTATCAAAAGCCACTGCTTGAGTCCCCGCTCACCTCGTGGTCCCTGCAATTCTTCTGCTTTTGAAACGTAGCAAGAGCCCCAGGGCTCTTTCATCCTTCTCATCAGGTTTCTAGGGCAGCTTGCCTTATTCCGTCCTCCTTTCCCCACCAAGCCAGGAATAAGTGGCCTGGCATCATTTCAGCAAAAAGTATTGCAGCGTAAGGTCCAGATATCTGGTCAGATTCAGTCAGCATACACTCATCACCACTCTGTGTGGCTCAGAGAAGCCTGATACAGAAAGAGACGCATCGAGGGGGTGGGAGGGGCAGCGTGTAACCATGGAAAACATTACACTTTCACATCCCTATTGGAAAGTTGCACTCTCAGCAAACAGGGGATACCAAATACTTGGTCACCACATGAACCTCTGCCCTGCCTTGCCTGGATTCCCCTCCCCACAGGCTCAAATCCTTGGTTATCCCACATCATGCCTGCCACCAAACTGAGCCCAGCTGTTCCCCTAAGATATCTGTGGTGTACCTGCTTCATAATAGGCACTTAAAAGCCTAACTGTGGCCTTATACATAACACACGTCTATTGTCTTTGGACAGACCTTTCTTTACGCCACAAGGTTAGGTTTTACACTCAACAATTATCTCCTGTAAAGTCTGCCCTTCACTTTTCATTACATCAGCGAGCATGCTGAAAACTCCCCTGGCTCCTCCAGTTGCCCAGCTAGCACAAATCCAAAGGAGAACATGTACTAGGGATGACATGTTCAAGGAACAAATGTAATCCACCCCCTTGAACACGGAGCGATTGAGTGGAGGAATATGCTGCTGCAAGAGAAAAGAACAGACCATGAAGACAGGAAACCATGCAAGGAACTTAAAGTGAAGAACCAAGAGAGTGTTGACGGTCATGGCAAGTGTGCATAGCAGACTTCCAGGACAGCATCACAACAACAGGCCAGTACCCGCTCCAGCCCTTGCGGACCCACATTTCCTCCTCACCAAGTTCCACAGTCTTGCCTCCCTAGAACGTGCAGGGTGAAAAAGGAGTGAAAAACAGCCTCATATCTGCCCCCAAGGATGTGTCCCAGAACAAAAGGCTGTGATAGCTGCACATAGGGATTGTAATACACAGCTTTCCCTTTTCTCCCCTCACTCCTCCAAATCTCCTGCCCTGAACTCCTTTTCTGTTCCTGCTTCCCTGTGTTCCCTAAATAAAAATGCATGATTTCTCAACAGTTTCTATTGCTTGTGGCTGGGGAGGGAGGAGTTTATAGACAAGCACACTTAAAGCAGGGGGCATTTTGTTAATAGCAACATGTAGAACAGTCATATCACTTCCTGGCCATTTACAAAGTTGTTTTTCAAAGCCTCTCTGATTTGCAGTACCCCTTGCTGTGCTCTCCTTATTGCCCAGGTGTCTGGCTGCTCAAAATTACTGGCTAAGCACTGTACCTCGGTCCCCGACCCTGATATATAACTTCCCCTTTTACTTTCACAGATATTATGGAGCACACAGCAGGCTGCTACAGCAATGTTAATGTTTCTTTTGCTGAGGTCTAACCTAGTCAATAGGCTATGAAACCTTCCCTTTAAACGTCCAAAAGGACATTCTATCAGCATTCTGCATTTGCTCAGCCTGTAGCTGGAACTGCTCCTTACTGAGGTTCAGGCTGCCCGTGTACGACCCTTAAGGAAAGCAGCCGTGGTAGATGCTGCTCTCGTAGAGTGCACCTATTGGCTGTGTTTTTCTGGGAGTAAGCCAACTGTATGCATGCAGAAATCCATTTGGATATTCACTGTTTGGAGACAGGTTGACTTCTAGACCTGTCCACGCAAGACACAAATAGTCTGAGTGTTCTTCGGAAGTCTTTTGTATGTTCCAGGTAAAAGACTAATGCCCTGCGTACAACCAGCATATGCAGTGCTGCCTGTTTGCTGTCCTCGTGTGGTTTTGGGAAGAACACAGGTAGGTACATCGGTTTGTTACAATGGAATGAGGTGGGTATCTTGGGGAGAAATTTTGAGCAGGTTCTAAGGATAACCTTGTCCTTGTGGAATATGGTGTATGGTGGATCACCCATGAGTGCCGCTGTCTCTTCTACTCTCCTGGCTGATGTTATCACAATCAGAAAAGCTACTTTCATTGATAGGTGTAGTAGCGGGCAGGTCGCAATTTGCTCGAAAGGAAGTCTCATGAGTGAATCCAGCATGAGATTCAGGTCCCATGATGGCAATGGGTCTCTATGAGGTGGATACAGGTTTTGTATCCCTTTGCAAAAATCTCTTAACGCACGGGTGGAAAAAACAGAATACCCTTGTATGGGTGGGCGAATCGCTGATATAGCTGCTAAGTATAAGCTGATGGAACTAATCAATAGTCCTGTATCCTGCATGTGAAGGATATATTCTAGTACGTCCGAAATCCCTGCCTTGCGTGGATCTTGTTCTCAAGCTGAATTAATGGACACAAATCAGATATCCATAAACTATTTGTTTTTCCTATTACATTCCAGTTCGGCTTTCCCCTTGATATTTTTATACCCACTACCTCTTCTTGTTCCCTTCCCCCTCCCATTTTTTTCCTTCTTTCCCCTTTCCCCCCCTATTTATTGGGGCTTCCAAAGTTGAGTATCCCTGGCATAGAGTCTAACCCTTTCAGTTTTGGACACCAATACAAAACTGGAGCTCAAGAATTAAAGAGACAGTAACAAATCTGTTAGTGTGTTTGTTTGAATTTATGAATGGCATAAAATAGATTAGTAATGTGAAAAATTCACTGATTTGTCAGTTGAGAATTTTCTAGGGATCAGCACTTTTATTTAATTATGTTTGTCAAGTTTAGCTTAGGTTTATACAACGCTATCCCCTGAAGCTAGTGACATTTTAATTTTGTTTTTAAAATTACACACTAAAACATTCATAAAAATCTAATAGTTCAGGCCAAAAAAAATAAAAAAAAAAAAAAAAAACCTATTTGCACTCTCTGCCAAAAGAATAATTTCACTCACTTCTCCTGAGTGGCTATGGTTTTCCGAGGCTTGTTCAGTTGCTGAATTCAAATTAAATAAACTACAGTAGAGTCTCGATTATCCGACCTTTCATGTTATCCAACCTGCCTGTGGCCGTCCAAGGCAATTGTGAGGGCGGCGGAGCCAACAGAGCGGAGCACGGAAGGGAAGGTGCCGGGCAGTGCGGAGATAAAGGCAGTGAGAGAAGAGGGAGGAGGGCCATGCGGCAGGATGCCGGAGCCCAGCCACCTCCGCCCCCCTGAAGGTCACAGGGCGCCCCGTCCTCCCCTATCTCTCCCAGCCAGTCGTGCTGCCCCACGGCTGGCCGGGAGAAATAGGGGAGGTTGGGGGCAGGGTGGCTGGCTAGGAGAGAGAGGGGAGGTCGGGGGCAGTGTGGCTCCCCATGAAGCAGCCAAGCGTCTGCAGCGTGGCAGCGGACAGGGAAAATACCTTGGACCCCGCACGGTATTTTCCGTATTATCCGACATTTCGATTATCTGACCATCCTTTGATCCCGTTTAGGTCGGATAATCAAGATTCTACTGTATTTTACCCTAAGGTAAGGAAGTATCTTTGTAAACATAATGTTTTTTATAAACGCAAATTTTGTTTGAACATCCTTCAATTAGTCATCCTGCTTCTGAATATCCTGCAATTTTACAGAATTATTGCACATTTAAGAAGGAAGACAGAACTATTACCTACTTTCATCCTTCAACTCTAGACACAGATATTTGCAATGTCACTTACATTTCTTTTAGATACTTTGGTTCATGGACAGTTCTCAAGGCAAGTTCTTGCAGTTTCTCTTGCGCAAAGTTGTGTGTTACTCCTTGCTGGAAAGTTTCATGAAGGATTGTACCAATCAGCATCTGCCGTGAACGGGACTCACAACTCTACAAGAAAAAAAAAATCACAACCAGCAATACAATTTACTGTAACCAAAGTCCTCTCTAATCTTTTCCATGTGTGGACTTTTTCCATCCATGTGCAGAATATTTTATGTAAACCGAGCTAGGTGCAAATTTGCACCACCAGTAGAAACAAAAAATCTTAGCTGTGAGTGCTCTACTAATCAGTTGGGAGGGGGACCTGAATCTTTCCTGAATGGCCACACAAGCACACAGCTTACCAGGAACACTGACTGTAACATACATAACATGGGGCATAAATCCTTGTTAATACACCCTTTTTCAGAAAGCAAACCTAAGCAAAATCTTCTCTAGATTTTCTTTTTTGATTGGGTTACAAACTCCACTAAGCACTACATTTTTGTCCATGAGCAAGCTTGCACTTAAGCCTTTTTACAATATATTGTATTGAAGACTAAGGTGTTTTAAGTGACATGGCAGGAACCCACACAGATGGAGCTCTCAGACATACATAATAGTGATCTGATTTCCTATTAGCTTTTGAGAGTTTTATTTAAACACCAGAGTCCCCGCACCCAGCCTCTGCCAAGAGCATCAGCCATTGACAGAGTTCCTGTCCCTAGAATCTATTCCTTTCCCATCCCTGCTGGCTCAATACTTCCTGCAGGCCTTCCCTTCCCTCTCAGTCTAACAGCCAATGTCCCTAGAATCTATTCCTTTCCCATCCCTGCTGGCTCAATACTTCTTACAGGCCTTCCCTCTAGGTCTAACAGCCAACCTTCTCCCCAAATGCATCCCAGAACGTATGAACAAGTCACCCCTGTCCAAGCAGCAGGAAAAGAATCACTCCAAGCCATTACACCACTCTCACACACAAGTTGCTGTGGGCTCCTTTCAGCACCATCAAACCTTGAATGCTCCTGCCAACAGTAGGGACCAGACTCCCCTCAGGCAAATGAAATGGAATCAAAAATTCCTCCCACCACTCTATATTCAAATCAGGCTGCTTCCTAACTTATGTTTCCTGGGAGGCAACAGGGAGAGCAAAGGAAGATTATCCTTGCATTCAGTTCCTGCACCTGGACCCAATCATGGCCTGCAGAAACCTAAAGCTGCATTTATAGGGGATTCAGGGAGATGGGGGACAGGTGCCCATGGGAATAGGGCTGCCATCAGGGTGACTCAGTGGGAAGGAAGATTCAGCGAAATGGGGGGACAGGGAGGCTGGGTGCAGCATGAGGCAGGGGTGAGCAGATAGGCGACTTCGGGAGGCTGGGGGTGGGGTCCCATGTGGGTTCAGTCCATGGCGCACTTGCGGGGGGAAGGGAGAGGGAAAGGCACTAAGGCAGCTCAGCCTCTCTTCCCAGACCAAGTCTCTGTTCGTGCAAAGACCCAAAGGATACCCAAGCCCCCTCCTGCATGTGTGGGGTCCTCAGCCCCAGCATCACCTCCTCCCACTGCCACCAGGCGCAGCATAACCTAACCTGCTGCCAGAGAAGGAGGAGGATGCCAGCCACTCATGCACCTCAGGAGCCCAACCCACTTGGCCAGGCCACACACAGCCCAATCTGAAGCCCATCCTGCAGAAACAACTGAGTGATGCGCACCTCTTACTATGGTGACCGCAAGCTCAGTGGGGCCTAGGGGAGGTGCACGCCCAGCAAAAGGTGGTACTTTTCCATGGAGGGTGGCAAGGTGGCACTCCATGTGTAGCTCTGTGGCCCTGGCGGGGGCGGGGAGTAGGTTTGTTTTCTTCACCTCCCAGCAGGAGCAGGTGCTTTTGCCTCATGGCTGTGCCCCAGCCGCGAGGCTCCAGCAGCAGTGCCGTCTTCCTGCTGCATGGTGGAGGAGGTGGAAGGGGCTGAGCTCCCGCAGCAGACCACCTGGGAGGCGGACTGCACTTTGAGAACCACTGGTATAGACTTTTATGTGATCTGTCACTAGTTGTAAAATATGTTATGTTCCATGGTTTTTGTACTTACTCTGAACTTCTCACTCAGCACTGCTTTTCTCATACATCGAATACTATTTGATACTGTAGTGCCAGAAAGCAGCAAGTCTGGGTACAGAATTAGATATCCAGAGTCTCTATTTATTATCCAGGTACCAGAATGACAATCTCCTTCTAAATGAATAATGTCTCCTGGAACTACTTGAACAGAGTACCTATAAAGAAATCAAACTACAATAACCATTTGCAAGACAGAAGAATATATTGGAATATGAACTTTAGAAATAAAGTCAGAGTAAACTATTTACCCGTTTTTTCAGAAAATCAGCACAGAGAAAACAATGAAGTGAAATAAAAAGCAATTTACACTAACAAAACAATGATGATTTTCACTAATACAGAAACAGTATCTATGTCTGTTAGAGAGCATATTTCCAAAAAAGTTACATAGAACCTCCAGCCCATGGGCCACATCTGACCTGCCAAACAATTTAATCCAGCCCTCAGCGGGTCCCGGGGGCTGCTTTAAAAACTTCATCCAGTCTCCCCTTCTAATTCCAGTTCCTCTCCTGCATGCAGGAGAGGTGTGCCCAGTAGGCCTTGCCCACCACGTGCTGGAGCTTCTGCATAAACAGGATACCCAGCTTTTCTGTGCTTGCCACCTTTCCCCTGCACCAGGCAGCTGGGAAGAGGCTGAAGCTGTTTTCCAGCCTCAGGTGGCTGCAGACACTGCCAGCAACAATTTCTCCTGATGGCAAGGAGGCATGCAGGGACTGGGAACAAAGGAGGAAATAGAAATCCATCCTTGGAGTAGGAGGGAAAGGAAGTCCCCAAGTCTCTTTCCTGCATGAGGCACCTTTTGGGAGGAAGGGGAGGCCACAATGGGGCCAGCTTCTTCCCTCGCCCCCAACTTCTCCCATATATAGGGTGGCAACACACTGCCAGCAGTGCCTCCTTAACTGTTAAGGAGGCATGGAGAACAGGAGGGAAGGAAAGTGCCCCCAGCCTCTTCCCTGCATGGGGTGCCTTTAGGGAGGAAGGAGTGGCCACAGCTGGGTAAGGAAAAGCACACACAGCCATCATACTAAAATTCTAAATAAAAAATAAATAAGAAAAGGTCATCACACAATATCAAGCAGTTTCGTGGGATTTTTCTATATGTGCACTTTTTTGGATTAGTGGCCCCTAACTAAAAAAGGTTCCTCACCCCGGCACAGTGATTCAGTAGAGACTACTGAAAAATATTAGTGTACTTTCTTTGACTATAAATCTTGCTAAGCACCTTTGATCCATTCCTGATTATGTGGTTTTTGGGGGCTCTCATCGAGTCTGTCATGTTGACAACTTGCACAAAGCCAACACAATACACAGGGGAGGTGCACACACACATAGCTGAACAGTTATCATCAGTATTATAGCAGGATACCTGCCTGGATACCACTATGATGGCTTCTGAATTAGGGATGTTAAAGACCAGTCGACTATCAGATAAGCATTATATTCAAAATAATATGGACAAATTGTAGAAATGGTCAAAAGCCAATAGGATGCAATTCAGTAAGGGCAAATGCAAAGTACTCCACTTAGGAAGGAACAACTAGTTTCAGATATACAAAATGGGATGCAACTGTCTAGGAAGGACTACTGGAGGGAGGGATAGCTCAGTGGTTTTAGCATTGGCCTGCTAAACACAGGGTTGAGTTCACTCTTTAAGGGGGCCATTTAGGGATCTGGGGCAAATCTGTCAGGGATGGTACTTGGTCCTGCTGTGAGGGCAGAAGACTGGATTTGATGACCTCTCAAGGTCCCTTCCAATTCTATGAGATGGTATATCTTCATATATTATATTATAGTAAAGAATCTAGGAGTCATGGTGTACCACAAGCTAAATATAAGTCAACAGCATGACACTGTTGTAAAATAAAAAAAACCCACAACTCCAAACATCTTTCTGGGATGTTAGGCTGTATTAACAGGAGTGTTGTAAGCAAGACACAAAAAGTAATTCTTCCGCTCTACACTGTTCTGATTAGGCCTCAACTGGAGTACTGTGTCCAGTTCTGGGTACCACGTTTCGGGTACGTCTAAACTACATGGCTCTGTCGACAGAGCCATGTAGATTTGTTGTTTTGGCAAAGTCAAATGAAGCCGCGATCATTTAAATCGCGGCTTCATTTAAATTTACATGGCCGCCGCGCTGAGCCGACAAACAGCTGATCAGCTGTTTGTCGGCTCAGCGCGGCAGCCATGTCAATTTAAATGAAGCCGCGATCATTTAAATCGCGGCTTCATTTAAATTTACATGGCCGCCGCGCTGAGCCGACAAACAGCTGATCAGCTGTTTGTCGGCTCAGCGCGGCAGCCATGTCAATTTAAATGAAGCCGCGATCATTTAAATCGCGGCTTCATTTAAATTTACATGGCCGCCGCGCTGAGCCGACAAACAGCTGATCAGCTGTTTGTCGGCTCAGCGCGGCAGCCATGTCAATTTAAATGAAGCCGCGATCATTTAAATCGCGGCTTCATTTGACTTTGCCTATGTGTCTAATCTACATGCCTCTGACGACAGGCATGTAGTCTAGATACAGCCTTCAAGAAAGATGTGGAGAAACTGGAGAAGATCCAGAGAAAAGCAACAAAAATGATTAAAGGTCTAGAAAAATATGACCTACAAGGGAAGATTGAAAGAACTGGCTTTACTTAGTCTTGAAAAGAGAAGATCGAGGGGGGACATAACAGTTTTCAAGTACCTAAAAGGTTATTACAAGAAGGAGGAAGAAAAATTAATTCTCCTTTGCTTCTTGTCCTAGCCTCAGAGGTTATGTTTCTAAATTGTAGCAAGGTTACTGGTTGGACATTTGAAAAAACTTCCTGAGGCTATGTCTACACACAACAGCATTATTTCAGAATAACTGATGTTATTCCAAAATAACACTGCCCGCCTCTAAACAGCAAGCAGTTATTTCAATATAATGCCAAAATAATGTTGAGACGGAGGACTTCTTACTCCAACTCCCATAACCCTCATTTTACAGGAAGCAAGGGAAGTTGGAGGAAGAATGCTCTAACTTGGACTTCCTGCTGTATAGACAGTGCCAAAAGCCGAAATAAGCTATTTCGACTTGAGCTACACAACTGACATAGCTCAAGTTGCATAGGTTATTTTGGCTTTAGACCTGCTGTGTAGACGTGTGCTAACTGTCCCAGTGGTTAACTGCTGGAATAAATTACTTAGAGATGTTGTGGAATCTTCATCGTTGGAGATTCTACGAAAGTTAACATAGTTATTTTAACCAGCCTGTATAATAACCAATTCTGCAAGGGAATCTCTGTATATTTCCACCAGTTCAATTATCATGACCATGGAAGAAAGAGCATTATCTGCTGCAGCAAGCACAAACAAAACTGCACATTTACAGTTTCACCATTTTCCACATTTGTTTGATTAAGTGATATAAAAGCTAAAAGACAATATAATCAAGAATAAAACAAGGCACAAACATATTATATTAACTGTATTAAGATAATATAGTCTGAAATTTGTTTTAATCTTTCAGAGCAAAAAAACCCCCAAACCCAGAAGACAACATGCAGAAAACTTTTCATAATAGAACACCATATCCCCATCACAGAAAATATTGATCTCAATTACCAGTCATTCCTTAGAATACACAGTTCTGTATCTTCAAGCAACGGAGAAGATGTAATTATCAGATGTTTCTCGGGACCATCTTCATTTTTCTGTATTACCTTGATTCTTAATACACGGTATCTATTGTTCAAACCTTTACTGAGTGTTGTCTCATAGAAGTCCACTGTTCTCTTCTGAAAACTTAATTAACAGTTATATTAATGCAAACGAATAGATGGCGTTGTTTGCAGAGACCATAAGCCACTCTACAATTCAATTTGAAGCCAGCTTCCTAGTGTTAAAACAAGTTTTCAATCCCTTGCCGCATCTCACCCCATGGCAAGGTTTTTCTGTGAAACGTGACTGAAAACAGTTAATAAAGGAGATCCGGAGCCTATATCGACAAGACATTGTTCCAGAAACTCCAAATTCAATCTGTGCCAAAGCTGGCTTGATGGTGTTGGGAAGAGACGCCATCGCCCCGCCCCCAACACAAACCGGGGAGCTCCGCAACGTGACCCGCAGACACCCTAACTGCCAGTAGAGACACAGCCCGTAGCGTGGCTCTGCAGGAAGCACCCCCCCCCAGGTATCTGCGTGTCGGGGCCGCCCCCCGGCCGATGCGGTAAGGCTCAGCTGCTCTGAAGCCCTTTCCCCGGGGCGCAATGCCAGTTCCCCGGCGCCCCCTGGCCCTCGGGCACGGCGCGGGCGGAGGAG